AAATGTAGTAAATTTGCAAGGGGAAAAAAAAAAGAAATTTCCACAATTAAATAATTATTATATTTTTCTGTATCTTATTCTTCGCGAATTTATTTATGTTTTGATTTCAAACCCAGGGATCAATTTGTTTTGCATTTTATATTACATTATTATACATATATATGAGGATGAAATCAAAAAAGTGCTTTTGTTTTTAACATGTTTTTAAAATGAAAAACAAATTGACAAAAGTAAATGGACTTTGCAACAATTTGAAGAGCTGCTGTTTTTTTATGAAGAAAAAAAAATAAAATTCAATTACACAAGTTTTCTCTGTGACTTGGAGTTCACTTACGAAGAACAAATTTTTGCACCAAAACTACCTTCATACCTCGCGTTTTCACCGACACCTTATGGGAGGAGCATTCTGTTTCCGGTCACAGTCCCCCAGCTCTCTGTGGGGTTAAAGGCCGCATCGAAGGCTTAAAGAATGTAGCAGCTTAGCTACTCTGCCAGACATATATTTCATAATTACTAAATACGACAGCAGCTGTATAAAATATCTTCTTCTGCACTTCAGCTCAGGACGCTTTCCGAGGCCTATGTTTGTGTTCAGGTGAGTGAAGAAAGTATAGAAGCGCCCCGAAAACCAACAGGCTAACAACATGCTAACAACATGCTAACAGGAAGCGAAGTTTAATGTTAGCTGAAGCTTGTTGTCAGCGGACTGCCGCTTAGTAAAGTTATTTTATAGACCTTAGATAAACACCACAGTAGTACATTTAATAATAACGGCGTATTCAAATTCGCACTTTCTTTGCATGTAAGCTAGCGTTAGCTTAGCTAAAAGCTAACGCAAAGTAGAGGCGTTAGCATTGTATTGTCAAACAACTTTTGAGGTGTCATTAATTTCAGTCATTTGTTGAAAGGAAAATCAAAGTGGAAGGTTCTTGAGGGTTTGTGACGTTTTTGCCCATTTCTCAATACAAACGTTGTCCAAAATGTTTGTGTCCGACTCGAGGGCGTTACCAGAAGTGTCAACACAACAATGTGTGGATTGTTGAGAAAGTCGGGGCGAGTTTTCAGAGCAGTATTTATCATCATCCAGTTATTCAGTGTAGTTAACTTGCTCTCGACCAGGCTAACAGGTTTGGCTAAACTTGTTACAATTAGCATCTTCGTCATGTGAAGCTGGAAAGTTTCAGTTTTTGACAGGAAGGTGTGTCTTATGTCTCCATTTTAACATAACTTGAACTCGTAATTTCTCCAAAGACGGTTTTGAGTTCAGCCTCCTTTTAAAAATAGCAGTGTCCTCTTTATTTTCTAGCACAGTAAAGTTACATGTTAAACTTTATGCTTTCTAAATCTACACACAGCTGTAAAATAAGCTTTCTTTTCAGTTTGTCAATTAAAATATGAAATTATTTTCACTTGTTTTTGTCCTCTGCTCATTCCCTTTTTTAGGCAGTTAGAAARCAAAACTGTCAGTTCTAAAATTTTGTGTTGCTCACTCGATTTTACTTGCATTTTCAGAGAAAGAAGTGGAACTGAGGGCACATCCTGCAACACGAGGATAGACCAGCCACGGGACTAACAGATGAAGTAAGGTTTTCACACAAACTCATACCACACCATGTGATTATCAGTAGTGGATGTGTGTTTACAACAGTATGCTTAAAGTTATTTACAGTAAAGACTTATGCTGCGTTCACACCGAATGAGACTTCAGCTTCAAAATCGCAGCCAACGCTGAAGTTGGTCGCTCATGCACTTTGAGGTCAGACGCAGGACAGCTCTTGAAGCGCTGCACGGCAAGAGCCTCCCCGCCCCTCCCTCCTCTGTCGGGCTCTGTTTAATGTCGGACCAGGAAGTGGCTTTGCTTTATTTACAGAGAGCAAGAGC